TATAAAACAAAAAAAGCAGCAAGAGAAAAAGGCTAGACTACCTACCAGGGAAGACCAATCAGAATAGCAGCAGATTTATCTACAGAAACACCTCGGCTGGGAGAGCTTAGAGCCCAATATTCAAAGTTCTCAAAGATAACCAATTTCAATGAAGAATAACCTACCCAGTCAAGCTAAGCTTCATCAGTGAGGGAGAATTAAAATCTTTCCCAGACATCCAATCCCTAAGAACTTATGCTGTCTCCAAACCACCTCTACAAGAAACACTTAAGAAAGGATTAAACACAGAAGAAAAGGAGAAAAGAACGACAACGTTCTTCACAAGAGTACAGGGAAAGATGGAAAATACACATGAATCAACCCAAAAACCAAAGGAAAGACAACAAATTAACAGGAACAACAACAACTCTATGAGAACCTCATGACAGGGAAAAACTGCTCCATTTCAATAATAGCCTGAATGTGAATGGACTAAATGCACCAATGAAAAGACACAGAATGGCAAAATGGATAAAATATTATGCGGCAACAATATATTGTCTCCAAGAGACTCATTTCACTGGAAGGGACACTCATAGACTCAAAGTAAAAGGATGGGAAACAAAACTTCAGGCGAATGGAACACAAAAGAAAGTGGGAGTTGCGATCTTAATCTCAGACAATACCCTTTAAGCTATCAAAAATCAAAAAAGATGAAGAAGGTCGCTTTATAATGATAAAAGATTCAATCCATCAACAAGAAATATCCATCCCAAACATATATGCACCTAACACAGAAGCACCAATGTTCATAAAGCAGCTTCTAGGCAAACTTTAAAAAGAGATTGACTCTAACACTATCATAGTTGTGGACTTTAATACCCCACTCACAACCCTAGACAGATCATCTAGACAAAAAATCAGCAAGGAGACCCAGAATTTCAATGAGACTCTTGAACAAATGTACATAATTGATACCTACAGAACACTTCACCCAATGACCACATAATATACATTCTACTCATCACTACATGGAACGTACTCCAAGATGGACCACATCATTGCCATAAATCGAACACAAACAAATTTCATAAGATTGAAATCTTACCATCATCTTCTCAGACCACAGTGGAATCAAGATAAATATCAACACCAACAAAATTTCCCACTGCCAACAATGACATGGACACTAACAGCATGATGCTGAACAACGAATGGATCAACACTAAAATCAAAGAAGAAATTGAAAGATTATTGGAAACCAATGAAAATGAAGAAGCATCCTACCAAAACCTCTGTGATGCCATCAAATCAGTTCTAAGAGGGGCGTTTATGTCTCTACGAGCATACATCAAGAAAATGGACAGATCACAAGTGGAGAGCCTAAAAATTACCTATGGGAGCTGGAAAAGAAGACCACCAAAATCCCAACTTTAGCAGAAGAAGCCAAATCACAAAAATAAGAGCACAAATATAGGACACAGAAGACAAAAATATCATAGAAAACATCAACTAAACAAAAAAGCTGGTTCTTTGAAAGAATTAACAAGATTGATGGGCCCCTAGCTAGAATGACCAAGAAAAA